AATATATTTGTATATATAAACACACAGTTGTTAAAAGCATCCTGGCACATACCATCAAATTGAGATGGTCTCCATGCTATTCACAGCTTCAAAATATTCAAGAGAGAGGCTGGACAAATGAAATGTAGGTATAGCCAAAGGAGAGTTAACACATACAAGTATATTGACATCAACCTTTCGGAAGGTTGTAGCCAACCTTAATCTGGGTGGTTTGTGGCCAACTGCAACAATGGTATCAATCAACTTTCATCATTCATCATCTGTGCCATGTCCTATGTGTGCCACACTTCCAATGACCAATAAAAGATAGATAGATAGATAGATAGATAGATAGATAGATAGATAGATAGATAGATAGATTTAGATAGATGGATTTGGGTATATATTTATTTGCATGTGTATACCTACACTGCATGTATTCTACTACTATAGCTTTTTGTTAAATCTTTACTACATGATAAACATTTAAATACAATTTATGTATGTATATATAAATTGTGTATATATAAATTCATGTTAGTATCACTCAAAATATGCATAGGTTAGGTTTTGCAAAAATGGTGCCAGATTTCTACAGTCAGGATATAATCTAACATGTCTTCCACAGGAAGAGAGATTGTCTGTGCACAATAATTGGATGTGTATTTACATGTCTGGAAAAGACATGTAACGTGATTTTCATTTGTTCAGTGCTCTTTCCTATTCTGTCAGAGGAAGGAATGTACTAATCTGATGTGAGTAGGGGTAGCTTTATAACTGAAAAGCAGGTCAGAGTGAGCTGCAGGGGCTTGTGATATCACTGTGCTTACCATACTAAGCTGCTGCCTCCTCTTCCCCTCTCTCTGCAGACTGCAACAGATCAGAATGGATGTGTTTATGAAAGGCTTGTCCAAAGCAAAGGAAGGAGTGGTGGCTGCAGCTGAGAAGACCAAACAAGGGGTAGCCGAGGCTGCAGAGAAGACCAAGGAAGGTGTCATGTATGTGGGTAAGCATCTGTTAGTGCATGCAGCTTAGTGTATGGTTCACCTCTGTTGACCCTTCCTAATGAGGGTAAATGATTATACAGAATGTTTTAAATGTTTGCTTACATAAAGACTCTGCATGTCTGGCTAATTAAATTAGGCCTTCGCTTTTTTGGCCTCAGAAATATTATATTTACAGTTGAATTATTCATGCGATAATAATAATAAGAAAATAAAAAAATTGTAGGCCTCAATTGAATCATATAGATGTCTGCAGTGTTATGGCTCCTTTGATTGCAACCAGAAGGCCCATATGTATTGACCAAATACTGGTACACATTACAGTTCTATCTAGTTATCAACCAGAATATATCTCACAATTATTTTGATATCAGTAATCTAAAATCTAATTGACTACTATGGGTTACTGCATGCATAATATCAAGTCATTTTTTAGGGGAATTTATTAAAACTGAATCAAACAAAAGCTGGAGCAGCTGTGCATGGCAACCAATCAGCTTCTCTCTTTCATTTTCAAATCTTAACTGAACAAACTGAAAAGAGAAGATTGGTTGCCATGGTCAGCTGATTCAGAATTTGTCTTATCCAGGTTTGATCGATTCCCCCCTTTGTTCTTTGCTTCCTTCATTAAACAAGTCAGATGGTGAAAGCCTTGCAGTGCTGTGAGTGCTAATTCATCAAGGAGCTGTCCAGTGCTGAACCCTACCATACCAGTAGTGCTTGCACTTTCTTATAATAAAAATTATGATGTTAAGTTGAATTACAATGTGATTTGAATTTAAGAATTCTAATGCGATCTGAATTTAAAAAATGAAATTAATGATTGATTTTTGGTTGCAATCCTTCATGTGCATTGCTATTTTCATGAAACACTGCTGGTTTGCACAACCTTGACAACTTTGGGAATGCCTGACAAATGAAATATAGGAGAGATATGTAAGAGTTCTGTTCCTGAACCAACCAATAATAGTAACATACTGAGAAAATCAATAGTATAATCTGATTAGTAGCTATGGATAGCACTTCATCATTGTGCTTTTGTTTCTGTTTATTTGCACTGAAACAATGGTATTGTCATGTCTAGAGCTGTAAAGATGTTAAACTGCATGCATGTATATGACTATATACTATATATATTTTTACATGATATCATATTGAATATGTTTTTAAGCCAACATGACCACCTCATGCCACTTATTTAGTGCTTTGTATAATATTTACCACAGGGTCACATTTCAAATAGTAACTGTAAAAATAATATAGAAGATTGGTTCATTTGAACATTCTGTGATTCATTTGGGACCACGCTGAGCCGCGCGGTTTCATGAACGGTCACCATAGCAATGTATGGGATCGTACATATCCACGCGGCCGAACCGCCCCGGTGTGAACAGGACCTCATTCTGTATCATTTACATTAGTAGGCGCAGAATGCGTAGGGGGTGGTCACTGTGCCTATGAATTAGGCAACAAAATCTGACTGCTCCAGAAGAATAAATTCCTTAGCACAACCCCTTCCTTCTTGCATGTTATAGCCCTCCGCTTTTCTGGAAGTGTCTAGTTACTCTCTTTGCTAGTCCAGCTCCTCTACCCCCTCTGCTTTCTACATAAACTGTTATGTTGCTGCCAGGGGAGGAGAAAAGGGGAATACTATAGAGCAGGGCTTGGCAACTCCAGCCCTCCGGCTGTGCTTTTACTACAAATCCAATAACCTATCTGCCTCTGAGTTAGACAGTTCTAAATCTGCTGCAGCTGCTGACATCACATCAAAGATGGCAATGCTCAGCAGCAGTCTCAGGGATTTGGGATGTATATAGCATGCATAAAATATGCTAAAGGCACATATAATCATATGGGAAGATTTTTTGTTGTTGAAATAAATGGTCTGGCACGTTGGGTTGGGCTGTTCTCTATTGCAAGATAACATTTTACTTGCCAAAAATTAATGGCTTTCATGGTTACTCATTGAAATCAATGTTCTAATTCCTAACAGATTAAATGTTTAAAGCAAAACATTGGACACATTAAGCTTTGCAAAATGGTGATTTTATGTAATAGCAGCCAACTCCACAGGGTGAACTGGTATGCTAACTTTGATCAGCGCCCATTGCCAAGAGCCAGACCCTGCTTCCTTCTACACATCCTTATTGGGCAGTAAGGTCACCACTCTCAGTGATAGGCTAAAATGAGGCATTGGGGGCACCATACCCTTATAATTCAGACACCCGGAGGTGCTGCTGTTACATGCAAGTGGCTTCTTATGAGGTTTAATGTGACTTCAGGTAAGGGTAAATATACTCTCACATGTATGTCAAAGATAGCTGCAAAATACACCTGAGAGAAGCATACTAGTATAAATAACTTATTGTACAACCCTTAAGAAGTGCTTGAAAGCAAATTAAGCCAATAAAGTGTCAGGTTATTTTGATCAAGATGGGGTTTTTGGCTTTAATAACTTGAAGCTAATAAAATCCCTAAGTAACATTTCCTCCTGTACACATAATGATTTTGTGGAATCCTCGACTGTCTTAGCTGGAAGAAGATGGGTTAATAAAGTAGCTCTTGGCATTTATTTTTGTATAGCTGACTTTACATCCCTGAGGGCCTTTTCAATGAAATGCTGAGCCAAATTAAATGGACACTATCATGAGCCATTCATTATGCAGTTAGACAGGGTTCTCTCTCTTAGAAGAGTGGTGCTTAAGTGAAGTTTGCTTCACATCTCCACAACACATTTTTAATGTAAAAAAATTAGTATATTTATAGAATGCATGTGTTAGTTCTGAACTCTAGGATGAAGGCCTTTTTCACCCAATCTTCCCATTTCCCATGCACAGTTCATAGATCATTATATTTTGTTTAAATCATAAAGTAATCAGTGGAGATCTGCACATTTATTACCTTTGACATCATAACAGTCAGCTGATTTATTTGCAAAGCCCCATGGCAGGGAGAAGGGACCTGTAAGGAAAAGTCACCAGCAGCCTTCATAATGGGCTTAAAAAATAACATTATAAGCGCTTATGTCTTTTTTTTGCATATATGGTATTACTGGGAATGTAATAGGCATCTGAATTCTCCTTACACAGGTAGAGTTATAATGGTTCGAGCTCCTGTCTAATATACACAAGATGGTGGGTGGTCAGTTTAAAGCAGCGTATTGGTATTTTGAAATGGACACATGCTGGACCCCGTCATAGCTACTGTTCTCCTGTCCCGAATATACTGGCCCCTATTAAAGGTTAGCAGTAGGACTAACAAGGCCTAGCATGTGCAGAACAAGAGAAATGACTATTGAATATTAAAAATACGATGTTATGAAATTATTATTATTAGTAGTAGTAATAGTAGTAGTGGTATTTATATGGCACCAAGAACGCATTACATATTGTACATTCACATCAGTCCCTGCCTTCAGGAGGAAACCAATACACATAGTGAGAGAATGCAAACTCCATGTAGATAGTGTCCTGGTTGGGACTCGAACTGAGGATCCTACTGCTGCAAGGCAGGAGTGCTATAAATGATTAAAATAAAACTATAGAAAACTCCTATGCTCCTCAGCTCCACCTATTGGCCATTATACACTGTGAATCTTGTATGCCTAGCTGTTTGCTTTACAAACGGTTTAAAAATCACCCCCAAAGTGATATTAGTGTACAAACACTATGATGCAACAAAGCTCAGGCTGGTTACTTCCTAGTTGCAAACACTAAATTTAATTAGGGACACTATAAGGTAGGGCAGGGTCTCTGCATATATGTATGCAGGAGAATCCATGTTTGCTTATTATATATGCAAGTTTTGCTTCCTGCTTAGTAGTGCTGCACAATGCTATGCCTTACTGGTTCTCTAATCACATTCAAGTGAAAAAAGTATACTTTCTGCAGTTTCTGACAAAATAAAACATCTACAAAACACCCAATAGCCAAAGACTATCTAGGCCAGGGGTCTCAAAGTATCGGCCTGCGGGCCAATTTCAGCCCACGAACTGGTACTCTGTGGCCCGCAGCCAGCTGACAAGTTAAGTACATGGTCATAGACCGCGTACCTGACTTGCATGAGCAGCTACACAGTCTGCATCTCTATCAGATGCAGACCGCATAGCTGCAGCTGGCTGTGTGCTCAGTTCCTTTTGGCCGGAGATCTTAGCCCCGACCGAAAGGATAGTCACCACTGGATCACCAGGGAATGATGTGCTTCCTCGCCTCCTCCCTGAAAAATCTTAAGCAGGTGAGGGGACTATTTATTCTATTTTCGAGCGTGGGGGAAGCATATTGTTTTATGTGTGGGGGGGCAGGGAACAGTGGGGAGCATATTATTTTGTGGGGGGCGAGTGGGAAACAGGCACAACATATTATTCTGTATGGGGCGGGGAAACAGCAGGGAGCATGTTATTTTGTGGGGAGGAGGTGGGAAACAGGGGGGAATACTATTTTGGGGGAGCAGAGTGGGGAAC